ATATCAAAAATATATGAGGCATCGCAACTCTTCGTCATTCCAAGCGTTGCAAAACGCGGTGACAACGGACACGCGTAGCACAAAAGTTCTGCGCATACCGCTGTTATGTCAACATAGGCCCTTGGAATGCCATTTAGGCAACGTCCGGCAAATAAGATTTATGTGTCCAACATGAAAGTTTTTCAAGTCAGACTGTATGAATGACTAGAAATTTGCCCAGTGAACTTAATCGGAAGAAGACGACCAGTGGATCAGCTAGTGCTTTCAAAAAAAGACAAAGCAACTTGCATTTTTCTAAGTTTTTTAAAAACGGCACTCTGTTCAACCGGTCCATGGAAAGCTTCTCTGGTGAGGGGAAGGCGCGCATTGCTACGCTTGGTGCTTTATCTTTAGCACATTTGTTCGGTAGAACTTACAAGACCATTTTTTCATCTTTTTGTTCGTCGTAAAGAATGAACCAGCAGCTGAGCTGTGCCACTATGAGATATTCCTTGCCAGTCATCCGCCAGTTCGCCTGCAAAATTTAAATTTTTCACTTTTCCAGCTGCATACAGCTCCAAAGCAAACCAACCCAAGTTACTTACATTTCTTGAATCGATGTTGATGATGCCACCTCTGCCTCCCGCATCAGAATATATAACTTGTGGTGCACCCCGACGATGACCTTCAACCTAAAATCACATGATATGTGGGATGCTCGAAGGGCACCGTTTTCATGCAGTAGCAAAACACAGAGGTGGCAGAAACGTGTTTTCACTTACAGTGAGTGGTGTCGAGCTCACTCGCACTCCAAAAGCTGCCATGAATGGATTGAAGCGCCTGGAATTGTCAAGATCCAATGCTTGCAGATTCCGATTGATGTCCCGGAAACGAGTTTGCGGTAATACGGCAGATTCCTGCAGAATTTCGGTCTTGTTGAGCTATATGGAAAAATTTTTTTCAAATTTCACTTATTTTCACAGCCACTAACATCAAAAAGGCGAATAAAACAGTTTCCAATTTTCCCGAAATCCCACGTCTGGACATGCCGAACTTGCCTGTATCAAATTCAACGCATCCGAGCGTGAGATTTCAGTAGATCTGCTTGGGTGCAACTGTCCGCACAATGTCCTGAGCAATGTGCACAGAATCCCATCTCCCTAGCTATTTGGGGAGTTATAAAAGTTATAAAAGTATCAGCGTCAATCTTCTGCGTGTCTCATATGTAAAGTGAAAGCAGCGTGTGAAAAATGATTTCGTGTATACTTATCCAAGCAGTACCGTGAAGAAAACTCAAGAAGTTTTGGTTTATTAGCTGTTGGTTGTAAAGTTACAAAATTAGCGCCAATTTCCACATCTTCCAAACACCAGAAGGTCAGTTGTCGTAAAAGCTGAATTTAAGCTCTCTGGTTAGCATATTGATATGGATCTCGTAAAATTTCAGCTTTCTACTTTGAACATCACTATCATCCAAATCGCTTTTCTTCAATAATATTTTTTGTGTGCATATGAGACTTAGGCGTACGTGAGAGCTCCTTTTAGGCTGACGGCCCAACACACTGACTATAAACATTCTCATTCATAGTGTTGTGTCCGTTGTGACACACGTCGAGTTCGATTTTTATTAGTTTTAAAAGAAAATATCAACACTGGTAACTACGGAGCTCCGAGTCTATGATTCTTCGGTTGGTGCTGACCGAGGTACCACGGTCAGAACGGTCCGTGAGGCCTTCAGACTCCACTTCTCTCGAGGCGCTGTCGAAGCTGCTGCTGGGGTAATGTCGATCCTTCTTGTGCCGGACTCACAGTCCTGTCGATCGCCAACACAGTGCCTTAAACTCCTCCAGTCGATCTACGCTCCAGAGCTGGGTTGTGCGCTAGAACGTTCTCGAAAGGGGAGAGCAAGATCACTTACTCCCAACACCTTTCCCTTTTTAAAGAAGCGAAGCATACCGTTATAATTAACAAGCACGACTAAATCATTGACACGTAATAATCAGCAAATATTAATTAACATGAAACAAAACTAAAATGACAAAATCCTATATATCACAAGAAATCCAATAATATGTGTTCATTGCTGGATCCACTTGTATGCGTTGAATCGGTTTTCGAGGACGTGATGAACGCCTCGGATATGGGTTGTGAATCTCTGTACGTTGTTGCTGATTATCGGGTGTGCTGGTGACAAATGAACGTGGATTTGTTGCTGCCTCTGCAGTTCGTTGTCCAAATTCTTCGATGTCAAACGTTTCTGACATTGTTTGCAAAGTATCGGAGTCAAGCCGATCAGAACCATTGGAGATTTTTTTCCTCAACTGATTTGCATGTTTCCTCAGGATTTCCTTTCTTACCTGAACTTCATATACCACACGACCAATTCGTCGCTTTATTACTCCATAGACCCACTTATTCTTCTGATATTTCTGAACCATGACATAAACTGGATCCTTGACGTGAAATATCCGTTCACGAGCCCCAAGGTGCTTATTAAACTGTTCTTCCAAACGATCATCACTTTGTGTGGGCTTTTTCTTAAACCGCAGAAGATCTAGGAATTCTTCAGCCTAAGAATAATTCTGATGGTGTAAAGTTATGTGGTAAGTTAGTATTTGGCGTACTTCGGTAAGCCATTAGAAATATCACCAGCTTGTCATCTACTGAACCTTCTCCATCCAGCTTAAGTAACGCTCTTTTGAAGGTATCTACAAATTTTTTAGCTTGACCATTTGATTGGGGATGATAATTTGGCATGCGCATGTGCTTAATACCAAAGTTCTCACAGAATGTGGTAAATTCTGCGGAGATAAACTGCGTGCCATTATCCGACACTAACACTTCTGGCAATCCATATTTTGCAAAAACCTGTCTTAACAATTTCATAGTCGTTTTTGCCGTTATGTCTGACGTAATAACAATTTCTGGCCACTTGTTGTAAACATCTATAATGACCAGAAGTAATGTCCTTTGTATGGACCAGCATAATCTATGTGTACTCGTGACCATGCGCGATTTGGTTTTGGCCATGAAGCTAAGACGCATTTTATCGGTGCTTTTGCTGCTTCAGCACACATTTCACATCTTCGTACCAGTTCTTCAATATCTTTTTTCTGTTTCTGTCCAGTAAACATGCATTCTAGCCAGTGACTTCATCCTATTAATACCAGGATGCGCACAATGTAATTGACGCAAAATATGTGTCTTGAATGATTCAGGAATTACCACTCTGTCAGCAAACATCAGACAATCGTCAATTTCTGACAAGAATTCTCTTCTGTTAAAAAATTGCTGCAACTTTGCATTTCTAATTTGTTTTGGCCAACTCTTTTTCAAGTACTGCAGTACTCTTCAGACTTGGATCTTTGAAAGTTCCTTCTTTTAGCGTCTTATGTGTTACTGGAAGTGTACGAATTGCATCCACTAAAATTCTGCGGATATCAGGCTCAATTTGAATCGCCGCTATGACCCTGTCACCGTCATCTTTTATGGTCTGACAACGCATCCGCTTGTCCGAACGCCATGGTCTGCTTGTATTCCAGTTTGAAATCATAAGCTAGTAATATTACAGCCCATCTCTGCATTCTGTTTGCGGGTATTCCTTTCTTGGCGCCAAATACGGCCAAAAATGGCTTATGGTCCGTTAATAACGTGAACCGTCTACCATATATCATTTTATGAAACTTCTTAACCGCAAATATCAAAGCCAGTGCCTTCTTTTCCATCTGACTGTATTTGCGCTCTGAAATTGTCAAAGTTCTTGGAGCATGGGCCATTGCTTTTTTTCGGCCATCAGGAAACTTATGTGAAATTACGGCTCCCAGACCGTAGTCACTGACATCTGTGGCTATGACAATATCAAGTTTTGGATCACACTGTGTCACCAGCATATATGATCGCAGTACATTTTTGATTTCTTTGAATGCTTGTTCACGCTTTGCTGTCTCATTAAACTTGATATCTTTCTGCAGTAGCTCATCTGAGGTTATGCATATTCTTTACAAATTTGCCGTAATAGTTTACCATTTCCAAGAATGATCGAAGTTGATTTACATTCACTGGATGTGGCATCTGTAGGATAGGCTTGATTTTTTCTGAGTCTGGTTGTATTCCATCTCAATTTAGAACAGATTCCAGATATTTGATCTCCGCTTGTTTGAAGCTACACTTTTCGAGCCTAATATGAAATCCATATTCTCTGATGCGGTTCAGGACTGC